GGTGGCTCACATCTATATTCCTAGCACTCTGGGAGGCTGAGGCAGGTGGACTGCTTGAGCTCACAAGTTCAGAGTGAGACCTTGTCTCCAAAAATAGCCAGGCATTTTAGTGTGTCCCTGTAGTCCTAGTTACTTGGGAGGCTGAGACAAGAGAATTGCTTGAGCCCAAGAGTTAGAGGTTGCTGTGAGCTACGATGCCACCACACTACCAGGGGCGACAAAGTAAGACACTCTCTCCCCCCCCCAAAAAAAAAAGGAACACTAGGCCTATTGTACCTTAACATGTGCATGTCCAGTCTATGAAAATTAGATCAACTTAAGGAAGTGGCCAACTATGGAGATCGAATTGTATATCAAATTAGAATTACAGGATCATATTTTATATGCTCCTTTGTCATATACGTTGTCCATTTCAAATGGCATAGGATAAATTCCTTTTATAATTGCTTTAATAATTCAATGGTTGTGTATTTCATTTTCATGTTATTGGGTATTTTGGATGTTTGAGATCTGACAATTATGTTTGTGAACTTGCCACCCTGCACCCTGCACTTCCATTGGCAGGACTTTACAAACAGCTCAGTATATCAGTGTCTCACAGCTGTGTTTGTGTTGACATGTGGCGGTGTCTTGCTGAGTGGCAGTCATCATTGTTCTTTCGTGTTTTGGTGTGCCATTGCAAGAATGTCAATTTTAATTATAGCAAATAGCAAACATTAAATTTCTTGTTAAACTTGGCAAGAGTGGAAGTGAAATCAGGGACCTATTAGTCCAAGTTTATGGGAGTAATGCCATGAAGAAATGGCAGTGTAGAAATGAATGAAACATTTTGCTGAGGGGAGAGAAAGCATCATTGATGAAGAGAGGTCAGGGCTGCCAGTAATGAGAAGTGATGAAACATTGAAAAAATGTGTTGAATCATGTGTCAAAATCATTTACTGACTTTGAGAAGCACAGCAGATCAAGTAAACATTGATAGAAACACATAAAATCCTAACTAAAAATCTTGGCCTGAGAAAGGTGTGTTCAAAAGTGGTCCCAAAGAAGCTCTCTAATTAAAAAAAGCAAAGGAGAGTTGAAGTTTGCCAAGACCTTTTGGAGAGGCAAGACTGTTTGGAGCCATGTTATCACTGGTGATAAAACATGGGTGTACCAATGAAAGAAACATCGAAGCGCATAATGGAAGTCAGTCAATTCTACACAACCAAAAGAAAGTTCTGTTAGTCCAAGTCAAGAGTCAAAACAATGTTGCTAAACTTTTTTGATATCGGAGGGATTGTTCATTGTGAATTTAACCAACTGGACAATTCAACCAAGTGTACTATTTGGAAGTGCTGAAAACGCTGCATGAAAAAGTTACACAAAAATGACCTGAACTTTGCACTAACAATTCAATGGCTCTCTTGCATCATAACAATGTATCTGCTAACAACAGTACTGTGAGCCATTATTATTTAGCCAGTAAACAAATAACTGTATTAGAGCTCTCTCTCTACTCACCTGCTCTGGCTTCCTTACTTGAAGATATAGGAAATACTGAAAGTAAGACATCTTGATGACATTCAGGACATCAGGTAATATGATGACAGTTCTGATGGCTGTTCTGGAAAGAGTTCCAAAATTGCTTTGAAGGATAGACTAGGTGTTGGTGTCAGTGCATAGCTTCCCAAGGGAAGTACTTTGAAGGTGACAGTGGTGATATCCAGCAATGAGGCATGTAGGACATTGTCTAGGATGAGTTTGCAAACTTAA